AAACGTGATTGAGATATGAGGTTTCAGCTCAGTACCAATGGCATATACTGGTAATCCTAGCTACTCAGAAGGCTAAAGGATCATGGTTTGAAGCCAGCCCAGGCAGAAAAGTCTAAGATTCCATCTTCAATGAACTATCAAAAAGCAGGACTAGAGGCAAGGTCCTGAGTTGAAACCCAAATATTACAAGAAGAAAGAAGGAAAAAAGATGGAAGGAGGGAAGGAAGGAAGGAAACAGAGAAATCAAGGTGCAGTGTGTCACAAATGTTCAGAAACAAGTATAAAACTAACACATAGTATGCACAGTATGAAAGCAAAAAATCTTTTCTCTTTGGAAGTTCAAGAAAGTTACTATGCATGCTTAGTCAAACTGGAATAATTCCTGCCTTTAAAGACATATCTTTGTCCTGGTATTAGGGCTTGAACTCAAGGCCTGGGCACTGTGCCTTAGCTTTTTGACTCAAAGATACCACTCTACCACTTGAACCAAAGCTCCACTTCCATTAAATACCTATCTTTGTCAAGCAACAAAATAGGGGAACAGAAGAAAGCAGTTAGAGAATTGGGTGTAGTCCTATACAAAACAGATCCTGCTTGTAAATGCATGTAGAAAGAAACCCAATAATGCAATTAGCTATTTTGTTTTCTCTTTCCTTTTCTTTTTTTTTTTGTTCCAGAATTGGGGTGTGTTCTCTTTCCTTTTCTTTTTTTTTTTGTGTGCTAGTATTGGGATTTGAACTTGGGGCTTGGGCACTGTCCCAGAGCTCTTTAGCTCCAGCCTAGTATGATGCCCCAGACATGGGAGACACATACACCTCACAGGCTGAGTGAGCAAACCTGGTTACTGTTCACATATGGCCATTCATAGCTCATGTCTACATGAACCAAGACAGAGACCGGACAGGGAGTTTTTGGTCAGAAAATCCAGGCTGTCACCTGGGGAGTGGAGAGCTCCCAGGATAAAGAAATGTCACACACCTGAGCAGGTCTGATAGATTTCCCTTCTGCAGAGGGCAGTGGGATCCAGTCTCAGGCTATTCATCATGTTGCTAAAATTAGATCCTGCTTAGGAAGAATGATACATTACTGATTACATAATAAAGATAGCTATATTTCTCATGAGAAACAGAAGGGAGAGATATATTTAGGTGTAGGGCAAATATATCCTTGATATGAAAAATGGATTCATTAAGTATTTAATCTTTATACCATTCCTATGAAATAAATGCACACATACATCACACGTGTTTTAAAGTGACTTGATAATTAATATTGTTACATCCTGCCTCTCCATCCATGCAGGAGTCATATGCATGAGTCAGATACGGCAGGCTGAGGCATGCCCTCTGCCTAGCTCTGAGTTCAAAGCCTGGCTGTACAGGGCTTCAGGTAAGCTGTCCCACCTCCTATCTTCAAGGAGAGGGTGAGTCACAGGTTTGCATCTCAATTTCATCCTACATTACTGGGGCCCCAGGAGAGTCACTGAGCCTTTGTGGAGTAAAGCAGGCATCGTATATTTTCCAGGGCAGTAGCTGAAAGTATCCCCTGTACCAAAGCCCATGTTGAAAGGACTGTGTTGATCGGGCTGCATTCATTGGGCTTTGTCATTACTCACTCTGTTTCTCCACCATTGCTACTTCACAGGGAAGGACACACACTCTTTAAAACCTGTAGCTGTAGTGAGGAGATTTCCAGATATCCTGGCCTTCTGACTAACAGGAGGGTGTTTCATTGTTGCAGTTTAAACAAACACATTGACTTGTAACACCTTAAGTGTCAAAGGGCAGGAAAAGCAAATCTGAGTGATACAAAAGAGCAACACCATGTGAGAATAACAGCTCTGAGCTGCAGATTGATGTACCTGCATTCTAAAGAGAAGAGTGCTATGAGGAAGATGACACTAAGGTCTAGGGGTTGGGGACTTGTTCTCTGTATATCTGGGTTACAGGAAAAGCAACATAGGCTATGAAGTCAGCTCAGGTGAGTGACTGAGATTGATGAATGGAAGCCTACTTTAGCTCTGCTTCTTCCTCTGCCAAATCACTTTGACGCTCTGGCTCAAGGTCATTTGCATGTCCAGCTTCTAGGACTGATGTGCCTGATGTAGAGCAGAAAGTCAACAGGCAGAGGGTGCCATCCCATCTCCATCTACTCTGGTCTTCTGGTTTGGAATGCAGGAAGTGTGTTCCTAGAATTGGCTGTACATGGAGCACCTGGCAGCATATAATAGGTATTATAGTACATGCAGTCCATGGTACAGTATGTGATATGCTACAGTCTTACTGCATATAAAACATATATAGCATAGATACTATTATATGCATACATATAAAGCATATATCCTATATTATATTACATTACAAGATAATAATAGATATTATTACACATAATGTAATATATTCTAAATACTATTTGTGTAACATAGTATATTATAGTATAATATGTAAAGAATTAAAAATAGCATAAAGTGTTAAAATAGTATAGTATTATATAGTAAAAGTATTTAATGACATATATAATATAGCATATATTATATACTACATGTAGACTATACTGTAATATGTATACATTATCAATACAAGGTACAATACAACAAACTACATTATATTACATACTATGTATCCTATATACTCTCTATGTATTACACAGGAAGGAAATGCCAGTCTTTTACCCTCTCTTCATGATAAGAAACAGCAATGAATTGCTTCTCCCTTCATAAGGCTGTAAATTACAGTTCTTGAGAGCACACAGGCATACATTCCTGAGAAAGTCCTCTGAGCAGTCAGGCTCGGGCTGGCTCTGCTGCAGTAACAAACAGTCCAGGGCACAGTGGCTCTGTGCTTCTTTCATGCTCCATGTGCAGTGGGAGTCAGCCAATGGCTGTGCTCAGTTCAGTCCTGAGAGGCCCATGGTTCCATTACTGAGTGAGGCTCACAGGGAGAATGAAAGAGCACCAGAAGCAAGAGGTGGCTTTTGTATGTTTGCTCCACAAGGTGCTATGGGACCGTCTGCTTACATTTCTGACAAGCAGGAAAGTACAATTCACCCAGTTGCCTGGGAAAGAGGAGACTCTGACAGAGGAGGCTCCCAGCGAGAGCAGAAATTGAATGCGCCCAGAACCAAGTCCAGGGAGGTTCCTGAGGGGGGTGGAAAGGAGCCCCTATCCGTTGCTGTAAGGGCCAGTCCTCTGCTGGCTTCCTGGGAGAACCAAGCTGTGCGGGGAGGGGGCCTGCAGTCACTGCCAGTGCCTGGGCCAGGCTCTTTCCCTCCCTGTGTAGACTTAGGGGTGTAGTCCACTCTGGAGTCTCCATGATTGATAGGTCTGTGTAATCTGTACCTTTCCCAGGTCAGGGCCCGGTTGCCCACCTCTTGAGTGCTTCCTGACTGCATGATTGCTGTGTCATCCCCAGATACCTTATTTTTATTTCAGATGAAAGTAACCCTCAGGTCTAGCCCATATCCCTAAAGGTGTTTCCTTTGGCAGAAAGGCTCAGGAAACACTGTCCTTCCTTACTTCCCAGCTGTGGGTGCCTGACGACCTTAATGGCCCACATTTTTCACCCTGCTCTGTGTTCAGGTCTCTTGCTGATGAGGTAGAGTTCATTGTTTCCATGAATCAAGGAGGTGAGGGAATGCTTCCTGGAAGGGCTCTTGAGTTCAAGGAGACTGACCCATGGGGGTGGTGGGCGGCCCCATGGGGGGGGTGGGGCTGCCATGACTGGGGAGAAGGTCCACTGTGGTTCAGCCTCTTAGAGCTCTTCCCTCTGAAGGCCTCAAAGGAGCTAAACCCACAGCTTTGGCAGAGGTTTGGGCCAAGGGTTCAAGATGGCAGATGAAGCTGAGACCAGACAAAAGCTGCTGTTCAGCTGGAGGTGGGTGTGGCTGCGGTGCTTGCACCGGGGAAAGGAGGAAGTGGGGGTGGATTGACAGCTGCCTCCAGGGTCACCCACATTTCTCCGGAGTGGATGCCTAGGAGCCTCTGACGTTCTGGTTCTCATCCCCAGCGGCACTCTCCATTCTGATCTGATTTGGTCCCATGGGTAAGGCTGTGCTAGAAGAAACATGCAGTCTGGGTTGAGAAGCACTTGACTCCTTTCCTGCTCACTTCCTCCTGGAACAGGTCTCACACTTGACACTCTAAACCAGTGTTGTTAGGTGCCTTTCTAAGCCAGTGCTAGGATGTGCTTGAATGAAGACAAGAACTAATTTATATAGGAAGAGCTCTGCAGAAGGAAGAATCCTCTGCAGAAGATGCATTGCTGAATGAGCAAGGAAGAAAGTAATATCGGCTTGTGTGTGGTGGTACATGCCTGTAATCCCAGTATTTACTCGGCAGAGGCAGGAGGATCAGGAGTTCTAGTCAGCCTTGGCTACACAAAGGCCAGCCTAGACCACAGGGCTCATCTTCTCTCAGGAAGAAACTGACAGAGATAGGAGAAAGGAAGAGAGGGAAAGGAAATGAAAAAGGAAGGAAGAAGAGGATGAAAAGAGAAAGGGAGAGAAGGAAGGAAGGGGGGAAGGAAGGAAGGAGGGAGGGAGGGAAGGAGGGATGGAGGAAAAGAAAGGGAAGGGAAGGAAGGAAAGAAGATAGGGGGAGGGAGGAAAGGGAAGGAAGGAAGGAAAGAAGGAAGGAAGGAAGGAGGGAGGGAGGGAGGGATGAAAGGAAAGGAAGGAAGGGAGGAGGGAGGGAGGGAAGGAGGGAGGGAGGGGGGAGAGAAGGAAGGAAGGAAGAAAGGAAAGAAGAGAAATCAGGATATTCACTTCAGTTAATTACCCCAAATGCTGAGCACCCCAACCTCTTAAGGAGCAGAAAAGAAAGAAAGACTTGGAAGTAAATATAGGTAAATATGTTTAAAACCTAACACAGCTAGAGTTATGCATACTATTCTGGTGACAATATGTTCTCTTGTATAATATTTATGAAGAAGAGAGTCAGGTTTCTCTATGAGTGATACAAAATAATCTTTTATTAATATTATTCTAAATGTGTTACCATTGTACATGATCTCAGAAGACCAAGTAGAGAAGGCATTATAGAAATCAAAGGAATAAATGAATATGAAAGAAAAGACAATTATATGCCCAAATAAAAACTGGTGCCCACTCTGTTACACTGCTACACATTTTGTAAATTTAAATATTGCACATGAATGTTACATAAATATATAAATACAACCTTCCTCTGGGTTTTTGAAAACAAGCATCTCAGTAAGCAGAGCCAGTGTTCTGTATTTACATGTTCTCTCAGATCCACATTTTCCAGACACTAACAATTGCCTCAGGGATGCCAGGATCTCTGTGGGGATGGCAAGGTCGATGGCTGGAACTCTGGGCTAAGGGAAGAGAGAAAGAGGTATAAGTTCTTACATTGTCATTGGGAGGAGGGGACAAGGCACATCAGCTATCCAAACTTTTGAATGTGTAAACTGGGATGACTCTTCCCACTTCAAGTGGTTGTAGTTGTATCAAAGGAAGTGGTGGTCATTACCAGTATCACCTGGCCAGAGGGCCTAGTCACACATGTGGTCATGTAGACACAAGCATCCTGAGGACAGAGTGGGCCCATCACATGGCTCCTGCCCTCAGACTGGAAGAGTTGAAAAGAAAACCCCTCCTCCAGAGATGTCACTCAACCCTGAGCAGAAAAGAGCTCAGGAAGTTGGATAGCAGCTTATTGTCAACTGATCACATATGCATTCAGCCTCTGGGGTTAGACTTCCAATTCTGTATTAAAGAATTTGACAATAATCTTAAGAATGGTTTCTGGAGAGAATTCTTGATGAAACAAGATGTCATCTGAAAACACATACAGAATTACACTAATCCATGCTAATAGGATGCCAGCTACAGTACATTTATTATGCAGTATTCAATCTTAAGAAAAGTGGAGATCAGATTTACTCATGATGGAGAAGGCTTCTGTGTGATTGGCAGCAGAGATTTCAGCACATTTCCCCCCCTTTGCATTCCAAACAAAGTGGATTTGTGCATTAATGACTTTAATTATATAGGGAAGGATTCATTCCAGGTAACAGTTTGGGATACAAGTTAAGGGGACAAGGTGCTAGTGGCTCACATCTGTAATCCTAGCTACTCAAGAGGCTGATATTTGAGGATCATGGTTTGAAGCCAGCCAGGGCAGAAAAGTCTGTGACACTCATCTCCAATTAACCATCAAAAAGCCCAAAGTAGAGGTATGCTCAAGTGGTAGAGCACCAGCATGGATCTTAAAAAGTCAAGTGAGAATACCAGGTCCTAGTTCAAGTGACGGTATTGGCACACAGAATGGAGGGAGGGGCTAGTGAGGATCCCGTAATGAGGGTACACCCACCAGTACCTCATCCACTAGTGACAGTGCCCTTGTGGGGACACTGTGGGAGGTTCTGAGCTGTAGTGACTCCACAGCTCTGGGTCCCTGTGGAGTGACTGAATGAACCTCAGCGGAACCACTCTGCTTCTGGAAGCCTGGAGACCTTAACGTCTGAGATTGTATTCATCAAAGGAGTTGTGCACACCTCCAGAGCATCAGTGTGACAAACTTTGAGGGTTTAGAACGTGGATTGTGTTGTGTGGCTGCTGCAGCTGAGTATGGAAGTAGCTTCTCTAACATGTGTCCAAAGCACTTAATAAAAATAGATGGATTCCACAGGACAAAAAGACTGTTGAGGCTATTGAGGGGAAAAAAACCCACAAACATAATGAACCAGAGTAAGGACCTGGGTTTAAGTCCCTGGTTGATTACTGAGTAGCCCAGTGACCTTTGGACATGATTATTTCATTTCACAGCATACGATTACCATCTACAAAATCAAAATAGTAATATTTATGTTAATCTCCTCTCAAGACTGAAAACTCAAACAGAGCCAGAGACCAGTAGCTCATGCCTGCAATCCTGGCTATCCCAGAGGCTGAGATCAAGAGGATAGAGGCTCCAAGCCAGCATGGACATAAACGTCTACAAGACTCCATGCCCCACTAACCAGCAACAAAACCAGGCTGAAGGCATGGCTCAAGTGGTAGAGTGCCAACTGTGAGGAAGAAAGTCGAGTGAGAGTATGAGGCTTTGAGTTCAAGTTCCAGTACTGGCACACATACATATGCACACACATATACACGCAGATTTAAAGGGTATATGTGGTGTGGGTGGAGGTATTATGAAAATGGAGAGGCACTGCTATGTACGTGTTGTCCTTATCACCCATTTCTAAGACTTGCTGACCAACAGCTGACACCTGCAAGGGAGAACTCATTCCCCAGGTGCCAGGCCCATTGTCCCTGGTTGCCTTCCTCCTCAGCAGGTGGGTGCTACCAGGGCCTTCCTTCTCATCTCCTTCTATACACCCAAACAAACATCCCTCTAAATCCTGAAAGCGCAGAAAGGGAAGAACCCGAAGCAGGGAGCTACCTAGGTCAGTTTTCCCCATACTTGTCAACATTTTTTAATAGATCAAGTGACCACAGCCTCCCTCAGCCTGCGCAGTCTCTCCACAGCAGCAGTTATTTGCCACGATATATGTACTAGCATTTACTAGTTAGCATCAAGATACGTCTTGATAGAGAACCATCCATTCATTCATTCATTCATTCATTTACAGTATTCATACAGGGGGAGTTTCACTGTTACATTTCCAGTCATATTTACAACATATTCCAGTAGCTCTCACCCTTCCATTGCTCTCCCCTCTCTTCAAAACCATTTCCACAGGTTTTACTGTCCTATTTTCATAGTTGCAGATAATCTACTGCAATCATATTCGACCTCCTTTGTCTTTCTCATTAGTCAGGCTCCTCTATTAGTTACCACTCCCCACACAGCCAGCTTCTCTTCCCCTAGTGATCAGTAGCTTTCATTGAGGGCATTTTTGCTGTTTGCATAAATACCTGCAAGGTATTACACAATTACCCTCTAGCTTTTCTCCTTCTCTCAAGCAGTCCCTTAGCTAGATTCATGTTCTATGTTCATCCAGTAATTATGTTCGTGGATATATATATATATATATCCATAAATGTATGCACATGTCCAAGAACACATAGGTCTTTTAGGTCCAGTATCCACGTAAGTGAAAACATACATAATACATATTATATATAACATAATAGATATGTAAAACAGATTTACATATATATATATATTTGAACTTGTCATTATGATGTCCTCCAATTACATCCATTTTCCTGAAAAAGATGTAACTTCAATTTTCTTTTTCCTTATGACTGTGTAATATTCCAGTGTGTGTGTGTGTGTGTGTGAGAGAGAGAGAGAGAGAGAGAGAGAGAGAGCGCTGATGTGGAACATTTTATTTAATCATCACAAGAAATGTATGACGTAATATTACAGCTCTGACTTTGACAATTAAAACAGAGGTGAAAGAATTTCCCTGAGGTGACACAGAGATCTAGTAGGTGGCAGAGATGGCCCCTGATCCCAGTTCTTCAAAGCCCCAAGGCACATGGCCTGGCCAATAAATTGTGAAGTCTTTGCTGAGAAACTGCTCTTCTGTTGCTGTTAGTTTGGTCTGGAATCCACTTTTGAGACAGAGTTTTACATAGCAGCTACAATTCTCTCAGCATCAATCTAGCTATAGTCAAGTGATTCACTTTTCTAGCCAATAAGTATTTATTTGGTGTCTACTGTCAGGGGCTGCGCAGGGAGGAGGTGGTCACTGGACACAGCTTTCTTCCTCGTCGGAACGCTAGTGCCACCGAAAATAAATGAATAAATAACAATAATAAAACTCATTGACTTATACATTTAAAAATCTATGAATTCCATTGTATACAAATTATACTTTTAAAAAAAGATTAAAAAACATCTTCATGGTAAGTGAAAGCAATTCACATCAATGTGATACCACTTACATAATATTCAAAAGGAGGCTACTAGTGGGCTGGATCCCCAGCACCCAACACACAGGCACCACCCACAGGAAACAGCGAATGGATATATTCCTCTCTGGGAAATTATTTCCTAAATAATCCATTACTGGGTTAGAAGTGTTGCCTAGAGGGATGGAAGCTGGGGACACATAACGTTTTTTCCTCCTGAAATTAAAACCCTACCCCTTTGACACTTAAAAATCTGAGCATTGTGACCAATAAAAACAAAGACCAGGACCACATGCGGACTGCTGAGTTCAGCTTCCATAGAGGATGACTGACATGTATTTCAAATCCAAAGTTACTTCTGGTGGGTGAATCTGGAAGAAAATCAACCCAGGGACAGAGTCTACTAGCTGCTGGTTGTAATACCTGGCACCTTGTTACCAGCCAGGCATGAGAGTAAGAGAAAGTACTAGAAAAATGACATTAAATTAGAGAAGGAGCAGATTGTGACAGAACGCTCATCTGCGCTTCCTAATTACTAAGTCCCCCTTCCACCCCGCTGACACCATGTGAAGTGGAATTAGATATCGTCTAATTAAGCAAATCTTGAAGGCCAGGATGAGCGACGAGGGGGCAGATGCAGAAAGCCTTGGCTCACCAGGCCCCGCTTACCCAGATCTGCCTGCTCAGCCCACAGCTCCAAAGTCTCCACACATTCTTCTTCTCAGCTCTGCTGGAGTATTTACAGAAAAAGACAATGTTAGTATACAGGCTCACACGGGGAGGTGTGAGAATCAATGGGGTTCAAGCCCTGATGGCCCCCGACGAGCTGCCAAAAGTTGTTAGGAATGGCTGAGTGACAGGGTGATGGGAGATAGGGAACATAAATAACCCAGGCAGCTCAGGAAAAACATAGCATGGAGAGACGAGGCCCAGTGGCCGGGCATGAGAATGACAGTTCAGATAATGGAATTTTGGAAGCTTTTCATCAGGGGTCTCCTCTGTACAGTTACTCTGTTCATTCATTCTTCCTGAAAATACTGAAACTATCACCTTATTTTGACCCCCCCCCAAAAAATTATTTATGGTTTTCTGAAGAGGCAGGGCTAGGCTTGGACTCAGGGTTGCTGGTCAGTTTTCCATTCTGGTGACTTTTCCCCAAGCAGTTAGGATCTTCATGGATACAGACTTAGATCTGCCATTGAAAGAAAGAAAACACCCTCTTCCCAGCTCTACTACTGGAAATGTTTTGAAGTGTTCATCCTTCATTTCTTTCATTTGTAAACCATTTGCCACAAAGCTTTGATTAGAAAATAAATATTGGCTTGCACACACAACTGCTAATATTTTAAAAGAGAACAGCTTAACTGTGGCTGAAGTCAATTTCCAATTCTCATAGCCCATTTCCAGTTTATTTCCTTAAATGAGGCGTGACCAGGCAAGAAAGCATCAACTTGTTAATGTTTTGCCTTTGTACCCAGTGGTTTTTCATGAAGCCCACTGCCGTCTC